CCCCAAAACCCCAAAACCCCAAAACCCCAGACATTCTACTCAAAATTGAATTGGTGAACCCTAGCCCAAATTTTTCCTAAGTGTACATCAGACTTCCAAAATTTTCCAATGACTCTCCAACTACTACCCTCCAGTCTCTTCTTTACCCCCTAAAAACCCCACCCTCAAGCCTATTCTAACACCCTCATACCCCAAAACTTCCTTCCCTAACCAAAGACTAAATTTCTAAACCCTCACTTGAGACTACCTCATAAATTCCCACCCACTAAAACCCCTCCCAAAGATCTTCACCCAAATTCCTTCATTTCTAGCCCACATTCCTCAAATCTCCAATACAATCCCTACTCTTGACTTCTATCAGCGGCCAAAACCTAGTCTTGGCCCGAATGAATTACTGAAAAGGGCAGTACCGGAAAGAACTGGGTGAGCTAAAAGGGATCTAAAATTTTGAAATTTTAGGATTTTTTGAATTTTTTAGATTTTGGGTTATTTTTGGGAAGTTTGGGAGATTTTAGTAAGAGAAGGAAGGGAAATTTAGGGGTTGTTAGGGTGTTTTGGAGGTATTGGAGGGAAGTAAGGAGGAGTGAAGGATTTATGGGTGTAGCGCGACAAAGGGTTATTTGGATCATTTGTATCTTGCTCATTTTGATAAGAAATCAAGGACCGCTGATAAAAATCTATTCCTTAAAATTAATCTATATGCTAATTTTTCAATGCTTAATCGTGGTTATTATCTAATGTGAGACATATATAAAAGTTATCAAGCTCTTAAATATCTTATAAGGTTTGCTATCTTTAATTTTTATCAAGATGTCCTACTAATTCATCAAATAAGAATTTAGTCAGAATATTAGACCATTTCTGATCTTTGATATATTAGCAGTAAGTAGACAATATTACTTTGAAGGTCTTTAATCTCCTTTCCATGAGTCTAAAGCTAGTATAATTATCTTATCAGAATGAATGCAATTTTTGAATGAGAATCATCTATTTAAACAAGGAATTTCGAAACTTTAATAAAAATAAATTACACTTATGAAAAGTAAGATATCTGAAATCTCAGCCGAGTACGATATTGAACCCAGAGCATATGACCATCCGAAATTTATGTCTTATTCTACTATGAGAGGAAAGCAAGGCATCCTTAATTTCGATGTTGTAAACATAAAAGAGGAACACCTTCATAATCCTCTTGATACCCTTCTTCCTGCTTATATATCTCCTCCAATCATCATGGAGCATGATTTTCAGAAACAAGAAGATCCTCAGAGTCCAAATGATAAAAAGAGTTCTTCTCTATCCCAAGAAGAAAATATTTCAGAATGGAGTTTTGATTTCAAAGATATGGAACTTCCAAGCTTCGACTTTGAACCTAAACTTTCTTCTATGTCTCAAGAAAATCCTTGGGGAGAATCGACTGACAATTCAACATTAAGACGCAAAATTGAGGCCCACCCTTGGCAAACCGGAGATTCCAAAGCTAAGAGATGGGGCAAAAGAGAGGATATTGCTTTATTTAAAGCTTTCAGACAATGCGAAGAGCAAGGACTAATTACTCTGTCTTCGATTTCTCAACTTAGAACAAATGATCAAATTAGTTCTCATGAATGTATCAAAATTATCAAAAATAGACTGGGATGTAGACAAAGTGCTCGCTTCTTAACCAACAGACTTTGCCTAAAATTGACTAATAAATTTTCTGTCAGAGAGACCAAGTTGTTGAAGAGGCTTCTCAAGACCTACCAATACAATAATTTGAATTATTCTGAAATTCTTGACTATTTCTCAGGAAAGACTCTTGAAGGATTGAAGAAATACTGAGAAAAATTGTGCGACAGAAAGATGGCTAAGCAGTTGACCCAAATCAACAAATCTGACTAAGATATCTAATCATTAACATTTACCTCCTATCAATTCGATGCTATTATTTTTCCATTAAACAGCCGAATGTATTCTTTGGAAATATCATTGATTCTGACAAAAATTGCATTAAAATGTACACTTATCATCTCTTAACCCATTCTTAAAGTAAGGTTCCATTCATTGCACTAATACTCAACTATTAATTTTGGTGAAGAGCTAAATCAATCCTAGTATTTCAGATAAATGAGTAAATTTTTGTTAAATATTTTGTATAGTGCTCTCGAGTTTTATGACGATTATTCCATTAATTTTGAAGTTTTAGATTTTTCTTCATTATCATCTTTTCACTATCATCCTAGTTCTGAATGCTTTCACACTCATTGTATTGTTTGAGGGTTTACTCTTTATCAAATGACACCCTATCTTTTTTGGGGGTTAAATTAGGGATTATCTTTGATAATAATTAACCATGAAATTTTTTTATTTCTTTAACCCGAAATGCTCGGAATATTGAATTATTCTTCATCCTATTTATCATTGATATGATACTGATTTAATGAGAATCTTTACACTCTTTTTACAATGAAAAATGTTGGTGAAAAATCCCAAAACCTAAATTGCTACTTCCTTAACTGTTCTAGGACAATTCCTGCTTTATTATACAAAACTGGGATAAATTAATTGAACACATTTTTCGAATTATTTCAACTCTCAAAACAACCTATGGGGTTTTGGGGTTTTGGGGTTTTGGGGTTTTGGGG